TTTTACTGATTTCTACAGCATGAACTAGCATTTCACATGTCAAAACTTTAGACTTAGACATGTTTTATTGGCTTCTCGTATACAGAGAGTGTAAACTAAATGAAATTTGATGCATAAAGCTTTTTAACAGTGACTGAGCGGCTTACAACAGAGAGAAACATTTCCATTTTAAAGTGCAGCAGAGATCGACAATGTAGAAGGTGCAGGAGGAAAGTCATGCACTGCAAAATCAATCTAGAAATAAGTAAGAATTTCTTAAATTAAGTGTATTTACCCTTAATTTTAACAGGTAAATGAGGTAGTTTCCCAATGGAATCAATATTTTTACTCTTGAAATAAGATAATTAGATAAAAAGCACTTGAAATAAGACAATGCAATTGTGTTTTATTATTTTAAGTATAAATTGTCTTGTTCAGTTGGCAAAGTGTCTCTCTTACCTCCTCAATCCAAGAACAAATGCACTTACTTCAAGAAAAAGTGGCTTATCTACATGTCTATTTTTTCCAGTGCACTGGGTTTGCTCTTATTCTCCTGTTGCTTTTAACGACCTGCTTTCCCTCAGACCGACGTCCACGGAACGTGCACCAGCAGATATGAGAGACGAGGAGCTGCGCTGCTGAAGAGCAGGGATCTAAAACGGTGCCATCGCTCCAGACTGGCCGAACTCTGGCCTCACTCCGTAGCTCTGACTGAAGATACTGTAAGTTCTGATCCAACAAGGGATTATTTCAGGGTTTAGGTTGAGCTAATAGATTGTTTCCTCTTCACTAGATGGTGCAGATGGAGCTGCACTGCGTTCAGCGCCCTGGAGAGACGATGATGGAAGAAGCAAACTGCACTGAAGTGGTGACACTGGAAGCTTCAGGGCCCATTAGGACCAAGAGTGTTTCTGTGTTGGTGCTGCTCAAAGCGCAGACAGGAGCCTCTTTAGGAGCAGGTCAGGCTAAAATCTCTACCATCATGCTTTAGTAGCACTGCTTCCTAACAGCCATGCAGCCAATCCTTATATCCCTCCGTCTTTTTAGGGCCCTTAAATCCTGCTATACTTACTGACCTGCAGTTTGAGGATGACGACGCCTCGAAGCTGCGAAAAGCCAGGCTGACAACACCGCAGAAAGTTATCCAGACCGTCAGATCGTTATGCAGGACGGCCTCAGATCCACAGCTGGTAACCTGCAAACATAAGAGCCTCCCGTCTATTTTAACCATGTTTCCTGGTCTATACTATAGCTTATATTAAGGTCAGTCACTATGGACACTGCAAAAATGATCTAGAAATAAGTAAACATTTCTTAAATTAAGTGTATTTACCCTCGATTTGAATAGGTAAATTTGATAATATGCCAATGGAATTAGTATTTTTACCCTTAAAATAAGATAATTAGATGAAATGCACTTGAAATAAGAAGATGCAATTGTGTTTTCTTATCATAAATCTAAATTGTCTTGTTCCATTGGCAAAATGTCTCTTTAATCTCCTCAATTTAAGAAGAAATGCACTTATTTTAAGAAAAAATGACTTATGTAGATTTTGATTTTTTCCAGTGGAGGGAATTTTGTTCCTTTATTGTTGTAAACATTGGATATTAATATAAAAAAAAAACACATTTTATTAATTGAACAGAAATTAAATCCAGATGTGAAAAATTGCTTTGAAATCTATTCAAAAAGAAGGCGTTTTGTAAAAATATAAAATCTCTAAAGGAACATGTTTACAACAATGTAAGTATTTTTTTTCAAAGAATAAAACATGAAAACAAAAGTATAAAACAAAATTGAGAAAAAAAAATTGGCGAAAAAAGAAAAAATCTGAGAAAACAGGAACGTTCCACCAAAAACTTTTATTGATTGAGAAGTTTTTCCAAAGTTTAATATTAGACTCAAAAACAACAATTAACTTTTTACCTCGACTGTCTTCATTTTAAAAATAGAGTTGTTAGTTCTGTTTCAGTTCAGCTCATTTTCATTCTGGCCTGTTGCTATTAAAAACAAAACAAAACAAAAAAACATCAAAATAATTTATTTCACATTGACAATTACCGTATTCTCCAGACTATAAGTCGCTACTTTTTCCCACGCTTTGAACCATGCAGGTTATAAGAAGCTGCAGCTTTTCTGTGGATTTTTTTCTTACACTTGAAAAAATTTAAATCTCGATAAGTCATTTGTTCTTAAAATAAGTGTATTTGTTCTTGGATTGAGGAGGTAAAAAAAAATGTGCCAATGGAACAAGACAATTTACACTTAAAATAAGAAAACACAATTGCATTGTCTTATTTCAAGTGCATATTATCTAATTATCTTTTAAGAGTAAAATTACTCGTTCCATTGGCAAAGTATCTCATTTACCGACTCAAATTAAGGATAAATACACTTAATTTAAGAAATCTTTACTGATTTCTAGATCGTTTTTCCAGTGTACAGTCAGAGGGGGAAGTCACACTGCAAAAACCATCTAGAAATAAGTAAAAATTTCTTAAATTAAGTGTATTTACCCTTAATTTGAGCAGGTAAATGAGATAGTTTGCCAATGGAACGAGTCATTTTACTCTTAAAATAAGATAATTAGATAATATGCACTTGAAATAAGACAATGCAATTGTGTTTTCTTATTTTGAGTGTAAATTATCTTGGTCCATTGGCAAAATGTCTCTTTTATCTCCTCAATTCAACAACAAATACACTTATTTTAAGAAAAAATGACTTTTCTAGATTTCGATTTTTTATTCCAGTGCAAAACTGGAAATGAGAGAATAATGGGCTAATTTTCATTTAGCGCAAAAACATGCTATCAGCGGTACGATGGAGAACAAATGCCCTGAATTCACACTTTTTTACATTTATTTGCTGCATTAAATCTGCTGAACCAATGAAGAAACTGAGCTCAACTCCTGCAGAGCTGAAATAAAGAGCTGATGAAGCTCCATCTTTCAGTAGAAGCTCTAACTGCTTTGAGCTAACAAGCTAACAGGAGCTAGCATTCTTCCTCCCTACTCCAGGGGATATATGTAGAGCGCCCCCTGCAGGTTTGGTGGGAGACAGTTCAGTAGATATCAGCAGCTTATAGCCCGGTGCGCTCTATAGTCCAGAAAATACGGTAATTTCTCTGTAGTTGGACTCGGTGCTGCCCCAACTTGTTGCTCACCACATACCAAAGTAAATCATTTTATCAAGATGATGCAAAGTTAAATGTGACGATGGTACCATTAGTTACAAAACTAAGAAAATGAAGTCTAAGGAAGTTATCATCCAAAATGTTCCTTTAATAGAGTAGAGCAGTAAAGCTTCTGGCTTTAACAGTTTTTTCCTGCATTACTTTTATCCTTTAAGTAGTTTTAAAAACGGTACTTTTACACTTTAACTGGAGTAAAAAGCTTAAATTGATCCTCTAACTTCTGCAAAAGTGTTTTTAAACAGCAGGATTTATATGTCTACTGCAGTAATAAACATTAAAGGGCAGCTCTGAACACCAGTGACTGACAGCAGTTACTGCAAATTACAAAATGGATTCTTATGCTTGTATTTCTAAAGGAACAAAATCCTGCAGATAAATATTGCTCCTCCTCTGTGTGGTCCATGAGAACATGTTTGTATTTGTGAGTCATGTCGCCCCCTGGTTGCCCCGCTGGGGTTAACCACGTTCTCTCTGTCTGTGAAGCTGCTGTGTTTATATGGTTTTATTTCAGAGAGTCTGACCTTACTCCCCTTTCATTGGCATTTAATTCCCACCCTGGAGAAACCATAGACGAGTAATACCATGAAAACTATGCAAATTCATCTGTGTTTGAATCATTTTTGGATCATCTTCAAGGTTTCACAAGAGCTCCTGCAGCTGGTGTTCCAGCTTAAAGACATGACGCTGCCTCAGCTCAAGATACTTTGGCAAGAGGCTTCTTTCAAGTGCAGAAATGACTGGTCAGTACCCACCTGTTCTCTAATGGTTGTTGTTTCATGCTTGTCACACTAGAAAAACAATCTAGAAATAAGTAAAATTTTCTTAAATTAAGTTTATTTTCCCTTAATTTGAGCAGGTAAA